CCCTTTGTGTTTGTCATATTGTTTAATTACTGGAAGATGGTGGTGCCAGCCAAAAGAAAGCGGTACATTTCTCCAAGTAACTACATGGTTCATAGAAACTTTTCTAACAGACAATTAAACTCATTTAACCAAAGGCAAGGTTCTGTTGATCCCTAACATTCTCTAATCTTGTTATAAAATTATTAAAACAATATGTACGTGAATATTGATTTAGTACCTACTAAACTGATTTAAACCACATAAACTTTATTATGTATGCAAGGTAGGAAAAAATAAAAAGTAGGTTTTATCAAAGGTAAATCGAATCTAACTGGGCATGTACACACATGCTCCCGGAGTGAGTTTCAAATCACCAGGTCTGAGACTCGAACCATGATCACCCATATGGAAGTCCAATGATGTAACCACTATGCCATTTGCTACCCTTGAAAGTTAAAGTTTTTTTTTTTTTTTTTGGAGAGATTTTTGCTATAGGGCGTGTGTGCTTGCCAGACAGACAGAGAGAGACATAGAGACAGAAAGCGAGAAATCACCCCCCAGGGGGGATGGTCACGCCGCAATCCCTTCTCCTCCATTCTCCTCTCGGGATCTTGGGCATGCACGCACACGCGCCCGGCGTGAGTTCTAAGCCACCGGGTCCGGGACACGAACCGCGGTCGACTACGTGGGAGTCCAGCGACAGAGCCATTATGCTAACTGCTGGTTCCCGAAAGTTAAAGTTTTAAAACTTGTCAGAAGGCATGTGCACATGCCAGAGAGAGAGACAAAAAGGTAGGGGACAAGGAAAAGGTATAAGCACCTCCCAATGGAGCTTGGGCACACCATAATTCCTCCTTCCCCTTTCTTTTCTATGTCAGGATTTGGGTCACTCATGCACACATGCTCTGTGTTTTTTAAAGTGCTGAGGTTAGGAATCAAACCATGTAACTGGCCATGTGGGATCCAGCACCCTTAACTATGAGTCCACAGGGCCAGTCAGATACCAAAATTCATTTTAAAGGGCAATGTTTTGTTTGGCATCTGAAACACATTTATCATAGAAACTCTACAAAACTAAATCAAAACCATAAAAAATACATAAAGCTTGAGAAAAGCAAACGAATGACTGCCAACTATGTGTCAGGCATCTTGTGATATATTTTACATTTGTTAGTTTATGTATGTCTCATATGATCCCAGTTTTATGGCCTTCATTTTACAGAAAAAGGTTGGTGTTTAAAATTTGCAGATAGCTTATCCAAACTCAATTGTTTAGGACCTAGTATTTATGACCCCAAAACCTGTGGTATATATACTGTTTTACGCTACATTCAAAAAAACAGGCAGGAAAAGAAACGAGCATTTCATTCATTTCATCAGTTCAACAGTTCTAGTGGCCACCAGATTTGATCAAGGTTGTTCTTAGTGACCACACCAAAATCTGAATCAAAGACAGTGAGGCCAGAGTGCGTGCTCTTTGCACTGTACAAATCAAGAAGAAATTAAGTACAGCATTCAGGCAGATTTATTTTCTAAAGGAAAGAAAATAAATTTGTTTTCTAAAGGAAAGGAAATAAATTTCCCCTAAATTTCCTCCTAGTGGCTACTGGTTAAAATGAAAAGAAATGGTTTAGAAAAGACCAGTCTCTATGTATTGTAGGATAGGCACTAAGGTAAATATGATGGCGAAAATATATTTTTTGGCCTTTTATACTGTGATGGATGGCATTTGTTATAGATTCTACATTTTTACGTTCTTTATATTCACCACCACTTTTGAAATATATTCCTTCTTAAAAAGTTCTTGTAAAAAGCATGCTTGTATTATCAGCTGAATTAAGGAGAGAAAAGACTTGTTCATCTTTAAATTCAGACAGCTAAAATGAGAATACACAATAGTCAGGAGTAGGGGAGGCAACCAACACGTTAACTCTAATATACACACACACAGAAGAGAACTACAGTGGGGATAAACATCTGAAAACACTTGAGTACACTAATTCCTTCTCATTTGATATTATTCTATTATACTTATTGGAGAAAGAACAACAAAAGGGCCACCAGCTGGCATAGTAGCTAATGTGCAGGACTCCCACATAGCTGGCTGCCCCATCAGCTTGAAACTCAAACCAGGCATGCATGAATGTGTGCCCAAGATACTCAAGAGAATGGAGAAGGGATGGCATAGCCATCCCCCTGCAGAGTGATTTCTCACTTTCTGTCTCTCTGGTGAGTGCATGCGCCCTACAGCAAAAAATCTCTCTTAAAAAAAAAAAGAAAAAGAAAAAAGAATAATGAAAATAAAATAAAAACACTATGGAAAATGATGATGCTTGCCACAGATATGACCAAAACAGATTTGGACAACAAAATGAATTACTAGGATAAACATTTAACAGCAAAAAAGTCTTAAAATACAAAGAATGAAAAAAGACAAATTTTATTACAAATCCTACAAAATTAAATGCTTAAATGCTTTGAGGCACATTTAGTGGAGTCTAACACATAAGATTCAATTCCCAGCTCCACCATTTCCTAGTTATCTGTGTAAACATAGACATGTTCTTCACTTTTCCGGGCCTCAACTTCGTAAGGAATAAAATGGAAACAGCTACCCCATCACTATATACAACGGTCATAGTGATGTTCTTAGTGAAAGAACACCAAGTATTAAGGATGAGAGCAGCAGAGATGATGTAATGGTTATGTTGCACTCCCAAGTAGTCAACCATGGTTCAAGTCCTGGACCTGGTTGCTTAAAAACTCATGTCAGGCACATGTGTGTGTGTGCCCCAAATCCCAGGATGAGAATAGGAAAGGGACTGTAGCTTGGCAGTCCCCTCGGGAGATGATTTCTCATTTTCTATCTCTCTGCCTCTCTGTCTCTCTCTCTCTCCAGTGAGCACATGTACCCTATAGCCCCCTCCCCCCAAAAAAATTTAAATAAAAAATTTAAAACTCTAAAAAAATTATTAAGGATAATACGCACACACGGATAGCTATCATATCTAAGAAGTAAATGTACTTTTTCAGGCCAAATGCTTACTCTTTTGATGAAGAAATAATAAATGCAATAGGTTCATGGTCTTATTCCTTACACTAATACATTTCAACTTAGTGAGTTTTAAGCTCAATCCTACCTAATCACAGGGGTTTGATTAAGGAAATCTAAATCCATGCCCTCTGATTAAATAAATCTCTTGGCCAGTCAGGCCTTTGGGCTTCTTTTCTACAAGTCTTAAACCTATCTGGCTCAATTCCAGTACCAGTGATCACCACCAGCATTTTTTTTTGGGGGGGGGGGGTTTCGCTATAGGGCGTGTGCGCTCGCCAGACAGAGACAGAGAGACAGGAAGCGAGAAATCACCCCCCAGGGGGGGTGGTCATGCCACAATCCCTTCTCCTCCATTCTCCTCTCGGGATCTTGGGCACGCACACACACGCGCCCGGCATGAGTTTTAAGCCACCGGGTCCGGGACGCGAACCGCGGTTGACTACGTGGGAGTCCAGTGACACAGTCATTACGCTAACTGCTGGTTCCCACCAC